GCTTTTCCAGCGTGCAGTRGTTATTCTGACTTGCAACAGCTGAGAGAGGAGAATGGCATCTCTACCGGAATGGCGTGTGCTGTACATTGTTTATTCCTGTAAATTAGGACAAGATTTGGGGTGAGGAGGAAACTGGACATGACAAGGAACCTCCAGTGGCACAGGCTGTAGGTGTGTGTCTGATTCAGCTCTGGGGGACCCATCTCTGTGAGGTGCCTCTAAATGGTGCTAGGCATAGACTCATCTCAGAGCACCCTTTCCTTCACCGAGTTGTGAAGTCCACTTCACGAAGAGTTAATTTCATGGAATTTAAAATATCGTTCCCATTACTATGCAATAATTCAAGTCCAAACCCAGTTTGCCGGGTTCCAAACCACTCTTTGGTGTCTGATGAACCTAAATTAGGATTGCAGTTTCACCTTAAGTTTCTCCAGAACCAGGTGTGATAAACAACACTCAGCTGTGTAGGTTATCACTCTTTCCTGGAGGAATTTCATTTTTCTAACTCAACTTGGAGGGCTAAGCAGACCCAGACATGAAAAAAAAAAAAAAACACCTGGCTCTGCAAATCTGGGGATTCAAGGCAGGATGTTGAAATCTCTGCACTTAACCCTCCAGCTAGAATGGTTTAGAAAGCTTATAAACTTCCTACCCACTCACTTCCTACCCTGCCTTGCTAGGCAAGCTATAATTTTTACTTTTAATGAAATCTAATGAACATGTCACCATACTGCTCTGTCAAGTAGATCATGGGAAAGAGATGGTCAGAGGTATCTTCCAGAGGGAGATTTCACAAGGATGAATCCTGCCATGCGTTGACACAGTGACCTTTCTTGGCATAACGGCTTTTGCACCAGGTGACCCCGCCACCACTGCAATGGGTGACTCATTACAGATTTGAGTGATTCACGCTTTTCTCCCTATTGGATTGCACCATCCAGCCTGGATTRAGTGAATAAATTTGGCTTGGGCAAGCTGTGGAACCCACCAGTCCAGGTTTASCCATTCACTTACTTTAGAAAAAGTCTTGTTAAACTTAAATCTTAATAGGAAAAATTGCATTGCTGGRGGGTGATTCAGGACTCTGCAGAAGCCAAGGAGTTTACGAGACTAAATTTATTTTGTGCCACTACAGCCAGTAGGAAAARACCTGAATGGGAGCAGCCAGGAATTCGTTCTTCCTTTATAATTTCACCTGTATCTTTGCCCTGGCATCGAGCGATGAGGGACAGAGCCAARTGGCAAGGCAGAAACACAAACAGCACACTTGGAACCCATGTGTTAGTTTTGGATCTTGTCTAGAAATAACAGCCCAAGCACACAGTGAGTTTCTTGTGGCGCATTGCACGGTTCTGCTGGAGAGAAAGGAAGGGAATAGAAAGTGACAAATGTTACAGAGAAGTGCTCTGTTGGACCAGGATCAAAAGGCATGGGTTCAAATCCTGGTTTRCTCCTAGGTACGGCTGTATTTGCTGGTCCCAGAAGATATTGAAAGAAAAGGTCGAGATTTATAGAAAGAGCACAACACAGCAATGTTGTCTCTGACTTCCCTACTGAATTGAGTTTCCTTTTCTCTTGAGGTTTYCTCTGGACAACCAGTAGATTCCATAAACGGGAGTGTTACATTGTCTTGATTTTTGACAGATTGATAGGGGTAGTTCATTCTAGGTGCCTTAATAYCTGACATTTGAATCATGCTGTGATTGACAAGAGAAATCCCTTTCTTGCACTGCAATAACTCCGGCACAACCACCAGGAAGTAAAGCATGAATTTCTTTTGTGACAAAGTTTTGGAAATTTCCTTAATTTGAGGCTTTATGCTGTGAAAGAGCTTCTTTGGATGTCCATGTAAGGCAGCACTAAAGGCATGGATGTCTTTCCAGGCCCACTCAGCTCTAGGAGATCCCAGCAGCTCTGAGGTCCTATCTCATTATTCTCACTGGCTACATCCTCCCTTGTTTCCTTCTACCATCCCTTGGATTTTTTCTAACCACCAGTATGGATGCAAGCACCCTGTGCACCAGTTATTGCAGGCAATGAGCTTGCTTGGAAATCTATTGCTGCTCAAGCACATCTTTCATTATTTTGTGCTTAGACCATGTATCCCTACGTCCTGTGGATTAGGGTGGCATAGCAGTTCCCTAATCCTGTGGATTAGGGTGGCACAGAGAAGCTCCAGCACTGGGGCCTTTCAGGCCTTGCCCACACTTTGATTACTTATTGCTTCTGCAAGGAGGTCCCGCTTCTTCTGGCATTGCGTCACTRTCCTTCCCCCAAGCTCTTCCTAGATAATAACTCTAGCTGCCTATTGGGAAAGAATTGCATAAGTCTCTATTGCTCATTTTAAGTCACTGGATCTCGGGCTGCMGTGATTCACCCTCACAACGCCCCAAGAAGGGAATCTGATATCACTCTCCAATTTACTGACGGAGAAGCTGGGGTGTGGAAAGGTGAAGGATTTGCTTGGGGTCAGGCGGTGAGTCAGGCGCAGAGCCGGTGTCGGAGCACCCACCCCACCCCAGCTCCTCAGGCTGGCCTCTGTCTAGACTCACCCAAGCACCAGCTTTGATGCTGGTCTTATCCAGCATCAAACCTTTACCAGATTGTGGTTTGACCCCAGCCAGCAACTGCGTGCCATGCACTGCCCCCTGCCCACCCCCAGTGGGGAAGACAATGGTMAAAWAAAAGTAAAATTTGTGGGTTGAGATAAGAATAGTTTAATAATTGAAACAAAATATACTATTACTAGTAATAATGATAATGAAGAAGAGAAAGACAGTAAAATCCAAGAAAGATTATGATAAACAGCACAATTGCAGACCTCCCACTGGCAGATGCTCAGCTGGTTTCCCAGCAGTGATCAGCCGCTCCTGGTCAATTCYCCAAAATTTATGCACTGGGCATGATGTTTTGTGGTTGGAATACCTCTMTTGCCAGTTTAGGTCAGCTCTCCTGGCCATGCTCCCTTCAGGTTTCTTGTGCAYCTGCTCTCTGACAGARCATGGGAAACTGAAAASTCCTTGAGTTAAGGTAAGTGCTGCTGGGCAACAACTGAAACATCAGTGTGTTATCAACATTATTCTCATGAGTAATGAATCCAAATTCAGTTCTCATGAACTGAATCCAAATCACTAGTAGAARGAAATTAATTATTYCAGCCAAAACCAAGACATACCATCAGCCTTGCAGCCTCSACATCTMCCCTCCYTTCATCARTCTTGAGGAAATGCCTRCATCCCCAATTTGTAACCAGAGGGSCTCAAATGCTGCAGACAGGAGAAATGCTCCTACCTGCTTGGAGAACATCACAACCCCATACTTTTTCCTTTCTCCTTCTGGTCTGATGGCCTTGTCCTCACCACCAGGGAAGAAATGGGACCCAGCCAAAATGAATCTCRATTAAACTACACCACAGAACAGAACATCTATACACTGGTGGCTCAACAAATGGCAAACCAGGTCATGTGTTTTAGCTTGAAAACTGCCAAAAGTGTAAAAAAACCAATACAGAATTCAATTTCTGGCTTTGATGGCTTTAATAGAGCATCAGGGTGAAAGGACAGGGCAGAATATAAAGGAGAGGGGAGTGCAGGAAGAAGTGAGAATCTTCCATGGGTCTGGTGATGCACAGCAAGATGACGAGTGAGCAAGATTAAAAATGGGTGCCCTGAGCACTGACTTGCAAACTCCAGCAAGGCTGGGGCTGATGGAGTGCTCACTGTAGTTCAGAGGACCCCATTGATGCTGGCAGTCTCAGACTGGRCTTGAGCACGAGGAAAGTTTCCTGCCCCTATAATTATGTTTGGACTTGAGTGTTTCCCTGTATTTGATTCCTCACACGTTACTGCTTTCTTAACCACATTCCTGACTGCTTCTCGGGTTGGCTGCAGTTTCTGTACAAAATAAAGGCCCATTCACCACTGTATGAAAAAGCTCTGGTTTTTCCACAGGAAAGTTGATGGTTAAATAAGGAGAAGAGGAAAAGCTGGGCATCTGTGGCTTTGCAGAGAAGGCAGGGGAACAAATCAAGGAAAGGGGTCCCTTTCAYTCTTGCAAATTCAGTCCTGCTGCTCTGCGTCAAGCCCTGGTGACTCAAGGACCCCAGGGAATTTTTACTGCTCACTTAACAAAAACCAGATGCCAGRAGTTGCACATGTCCTGTTAGCAGTCCTCACCTCGCATGGGATGGACTGGGACCGTTTTAATCCAGGCCATCTTGGGGAACAGCCCCAGAGTGACACAGGATGTTTCTGACTATGAAAAGACAGCAAGGGCTGTTTCCCATGTGGCTCAGTGAGTCTGTGGGCTCCTCCCTGAGGTCCTATGATGGGGACTGGCTCTGCACTGAGGATCTCGTCTCTTTTCTTTACAGCTTTCAGGGGGACTGGGCTGCAAGGGCTGTCCCAAAGCTCTGTGAGAGTGAGACAAACTGTAGCAACACAAAAGAGTTTGGACCCGAATGCAGTTGTGGAGAGAGRTTTGATCTTGCTCCATGGTACCAGTGTCAGCTGGGAAACTGSTGGAGCTGGGCAGTGCCTCAGCCTCAGCTGCGGGAGTTCAGACCCTTCTGCCTCCCAATTTTGCTGTCAAAGTATCTACAGCCTCTGAATCAGCACAGGACCACACTTTACCATCCTGCAGGAGCTTCAGAGGGAAGGAAATCTGAATGCAGGATACTCTGCTCACTCAAACGGGTAAAGCACTGCTCAGTCCACGCATTTAGCTAAAGCTGGAGTAGGGCAGAGATGGCCCTATGTTTTAGGTGGTGATGAAAACAGTAGTGGCTTTAGCAGGACACATTTATTTCCTTCTTCTTATGAAGCTCCTGAATATTTTGCTCACCTATGCAAGCAATAAAGAAAATGAAAAAAAAAAAACCACCCACGCTGTCTCATGCTGAAAAGGAGGAAAAAAAAAGTTGGGCTTGAAGAGCGGGTGGAAGGGGTGTGGTTACCCAGGAGGTGTGTCAGGCATCGATGAACTTATTTATAAGCAAAGGCAGCTGTGCTGGGGAAGAAACTTTGCTGAGGTTTTGTCAGCTGCTGCTTTTTCCTTGAGACCACTTGAGGAGCACCTCTACTACGATGGGGCGGCAAAAGGACGTTCTTGCTACCATTGAAGAGCACCTGAGGATCCGAAACAAATTAGTGCGGCAAGCGCTGGCTGAGTGCCTGGGGACGCTGATCCTGGTGGTGAGTGGGGACTGTGGTGTGGGGGTGCTCTCTAACCCTTGAGTTTGGGGAAAATTGTCCTGCTGAAGGGGCTGTGTCRCTGCCAGGGTTTGCATTGGGAGTGAGCCCACCTCTGGTGCAACCTGCTGCAAAGGGTCTAGAGGACAGTCAYTGCCCACAGGAAAATAATTTATGCACATTGCTTAAGGGTGGACTTTGGGGTTTTTGGCAGAGAGTGTGCTCTGAATAGCTTGTTGGGTGTTTGGGAGCTTCTTTGTATCTGTGAAATGCAGGGAACAGAACATCTCTGTGCAAGCAGCAAGTGTTTTGCTAGAGATCATGCAAAACTTCCTTTCTGCCTGCCCTGGAATATTTTCTTGGCACTGAACTACTGGAAATGTTATCACCCCAGGAAGTGAAAACAATTTTTTTTTTCCTCACCTCACTTTGCTTTCCCCACACATCCCATAATGAAGTAGCCAGAATTTAAATTGTTTCAGTGTTATTTTTACTATCAGCTCTGCTTCTCCAGGGTTTTGTCAGTGGGGCTGCACTACACTGTGGCAGCTTGAACTGATAGCCAGCTGCAACCTTGTGCTTGCTGYCAGTCAGTGTGTTTTTAAGTGGTAAATAGAGATAAAACTCTTTAGTGTGTTTTAGTGCTCGGTTTCCAAATGGGTGGGATATAAGGGATAAAACAGGATAAATGTGTGTTGAAGTGCTTTAGATTGTAAATGTTTTGAATGGCTGCGACTTGCTTTGAAGTTAAAGGCAGATGTGGACACCTAGGACAGTGGTGTTAGAGCTGTGAGGAGTAAATCGTGGTGTAGAAAAAGCAGGACAGGCAGATCTGACTCAAAACATCTGCATCTGGAAACGCAGGACTGCCCAGTTGGCCGTGMGTGTGGGGCATAGATATTGAGGCAGAAAGGACTTGGTGTTTATGCAGTGAATATCTGCAGGTACAATTCCGCTGAGGTGGTGTAAATCCAGAGCAATCCTGGAGGTTTCAGTGGAGTGACAGTGGTTTCACACCTCTTTGTAACTGATGGCTGAAGTGTTTGGACAAAAGTCTAATGGTTGGAGGAGCTGAAGTCGGAGGAAGGCTTGATGAAGCTGCATGTGCACCTGGGGACAACACAAAGAGACACAATTTTATGCTTTCATAAATGTGGTGGTTTTTTTTTTTTTTTAATTTTTAATAATGAAGACACAGTTTCTGAATCTTGTGTGCAGCTTAAGGGACTCTGCTAAGACTGTGTAAAATGCTACCACTCTTGTAGGAAAGCAGCTTTGCACAGTGCAGTGGCTTTATTGTCAGAGCGACCCAGCTTTGGTGATTTGCAAACAACTCCTGTTGATTTTTCCAGGAAGGGTTGTTTGAAATTAAGGTGGGTAGAAGGTGATAGGAAAGYGATTAACAGAGGATTGCTGTCTATGAATCACTGATATTGCTGCAGTTAGTCTCAGAATTGTGAGGTGGATTAATTCCTCCTGATAGAGAAGGTAATATTGCTGAGAAACAAGGCAAGATTTTAGCCATGTGCACCTGAGCTTCCAAAAGGGTTCATGATCCAAACCCCATTATTCCATCTTCTGACTATCATAGCTGGCACAACAGGGACTGCTTTTCCTTACTGCCTTGCATCTCCAGGCAGAGAGGAATTGGGAACTGCTCAGAGCTTGAAGAAGGGTTTGGTCAAAAATCATAAGCAGCCTCCAAAATGAGTGGTAATGGCCATATATCAGCCACTCAGGATGCTGCATTGGCAGAAGTGGGCAGCACGTGCAATCTCCTCAGAAGTACCAAACTGCTCTGTTTTAGTGTGAATGGTGTATCTAGGCTTACAGGCAGAGCCCTCTCTGTGTTCGGATGTTCCTGAGCTGGTTTCAGTGGCACACTCAACTCCACCTTGTAGGACTTGTAAACTCGCTTTGGATTTCCTACAGCAACTCTGTGTCCATGTGGGAGAAGTGRGGTGTGCTTGTGGGAGAAAAGGGAAATTCGCAAACTCAGTGAATGCTCTCACATCAAGTGACTTCTTTTGGTCAAGAAGTCCAAAACAGGCTACCCAAGAGGGGAATGGGTTCCAGGACAGCAAGCTTTCAACATTCAAGCCAGTCAACTCCTTTCTAGCCTCATGCTGCCTCAGTCTACTTTTCTTAATGAAGGGAACCTTGCAGTTTTTACTTTAYTACCACCCTGATTAATTTTTAATTATTTTATGGCTTTTTATTGTATCACCTACATGAAACAGAAAGGGTCTTAAAGTTCAATTCCTTCCCCTTTCAGCTGGACAATTGTTAGAATTGGGTCCCAGGAGAGAAATTGTCATTTTGTATCTTGCAAAAGTCCCTGCTGCCCACCCTGCCAGCAGGTTGAGCTCTGTGTGTGTWTGTTCAGATGCATTGTATCCCAGTAAATATCTATTACGGGCTTCTGACAATAAAATGCCTGAGGCAAGACCTGGAATCCATGAAATTTTCTTTAGGGGAGATGGTGACTAAACACAAATTTGAACAGAATACTGTCAGGGATGGGTTTAAGGTCTGATATTGTTCACACTGAAATCAGCTTCCTGAGCCCCAAGGGAGGGAGACTGTTTAAAGTTTGCAGCTTACTTTAAATTTCTCTGTGTAGTGTAAAACTTGTCCCAGTGTGAATATTKGCACCGCTTCAGCTTCTTCCCTCCTCCCTGTCACTTGCATAATGACTACAGGTCTCTCAAACTCTTCTAGACAGAAGCTRTTGCAGACCCCTGCATAGTCTTGCTGCCTGTAAGAATGAACCTGGTGTCTGATTTTATTTTTCTCATTTTTTTAAAGAGACTGTGTGAAGGTAGAATCATAGAGTGGTTTGGGCTGGAAAAGACTCTTAGAATAGTGCATTTTTTTTTTTTTTAAGATAAGAAAAATAAGCCAGCTAAGGCAGCCAAGCCCTGAAGAGTGCCAAGGCAAGTTGCTGTCTACTTGCAAGCCACTTTTGCTCTGTACAGCACCTTGCACAACTTTTATTTAGTCTGTGGGTAGTGTCTCTATTGTTGCAAAAATAGTACTGCTGATTCTACATAAATTTCCTTTGATACTTGAATTGGCATTTCCCTTCATCAAAATTCACTTTCTGAGTATCACTTCAGGCTTGAACTTTATACCTGTGATGGAAGGACCGCTGGCTGGCACTCGTTAAGCACTACAAATGCTGAAGGCTCTTTACCAATCGCTTGCTGTTTGTGTTATTACTGTAGCAACCCACTAAAGCCAGATTTCCATGGTGGGTCTCTGTGCTTCTCTTAAGGCTTGTTCTGTTTGCCTTCCTGTGCTGGCTGTAAATACCAAAGCTGGCTCTGTTTGGCTTTTACATTTGCAGAAGTAATGTGCTTATGATGACTGATTTCCAAGCGGGACTCACTGTGATTCACTGCTGTAGAGGCACAGAGAAAGAACAAAACAATTCTTAATTGCTTTTCAATCGGTGCTGCCTTGCCTTTGTGGCTAGGTGGTAGATTTTTGGGGTATGAGTGTGCTGCAGACCACAGAAACCAAAACAGCAAAGTGGTTTGGATGACCAAGGCCGAGGGAACCTCACTTAACKGTTGGCAGAAGAGAATTTAAAGCTKCTGCTCATGCCACAATCTTTTGAGGCAGCATGGTAGTTCCCATGTTGCTGTTGGATTTGGGATGGTTTGTTTAAACCCAGCTTGTCATATTTGGAAAATAAATTCTATAAATATATATATAAATAAATATGTATATATATGTACACACACACATATATGTAACTTTTCTTTGTCAGACTTGACTAGGCTGTAAAACGGAGTGGAAATCCTTGCTGTAAGCRTGTTGAGTGCTGCTGATTATTCCTTGCAGAGGATCTTCTGCCGAGTGTAGGGACATAGGAACTGGGAGCTCTTCTGCTTTCCCTCAACCCTTCCAGCAGAAGAGGTTGAAGCTCTTCACTAACTGTCCAAAACTGTCCCTTCTTGCTGTTTCCGTGCAGGAGCAGGAGGTTTTTCATTCCTACAAACAGGACAGTTCAAGCCCCAAGACTTTTCCTTGGTGGCAAGGCAGCTTTTCCCTTCGAGTGCCCAAACATGTGACCCCACCAGATGTACTGGTCTTTCTAACAGCTAAAGCCTCTTGATCTGAACAATGGAAGGGACATCAGAATAAGAGTTTTTCCTTTCGTGTATGTGTGAACAAGCTAAAGCAGTGATTTCCTTACTAATCCCTGACTTCTTTGCTGAAGGTTGCTCAGGTTTCTTCAGCTGAGAGCAGCTCGTTCCTCCAGCTCTGTGCAGCATTTGTAGCATGTGATGCTTGTGGGGCACAGTTTTCCTTAGACTCTCTTATCTCTGCAGCCCTGCAGCTCTGCCTTGGCTCCGGTTCAGCGTGTGGTGCGTAAAGAGCTGTAACAAAACAGACCATCTGCTGCTGCCCTTCCCTGCAGGGCTGCTTCTGTCCAGGCTGCCTCCAGCTGTGCTGGACAAACAGCTGGGCWGTGGGGTCTAAGGCTTCTCCTTGCTTTGCAAATTGAAAATGATGACCAGCCTGATTGTTTGAGAGATGCTTTGAGGAAGGGCAGAAAGGACAGTGCCCCTTGCATTGTCTTTTTGGCTGATGGAAGCTATCCTGCCACACGAGCTCTTGAGCTCAGGAAGATCTCTGCATGCTGCCCGCCCTCCCTGCCTTCTCCCTGTGAAGAGTGGTATCCCTTGTACGTCCACAATTTAAATTAATCCATCAATATCTCAGGATCTCCTCCTTCAAAGCAGGCTCATGGTTGGACAGCCCTTCTGGCGTCTTCCCCACTAACCAGAGCACATCAAGGGCTGGCCAGTCTTTCCCATGCACCAGGGCGATTAGGGTAGATTTACAGTAGGCTTCTTGCCTAATCCCTGGTTTATTTGCTGGCTGAAAAGTTGTAATTCAGGTAATTGCACTCCTCCTGCTCTATGCCAGTGAAACTTTCCCATCTACATTTAGAGATCAGTCTGTCTGAAGTCCAAGAGCAAATGCACTCGGGCCTTTTGTGTTGCACATGAAGGCATAAAAAAGCACTGGAAAAGAAAAGAGGAGACAAGAAAGGGAAGAATTATGTGGAGGAATTCTGAGCACCATCTTCCTCCTGAGCTCATATTTGAAGCTGTTTTTCACTAAGTGTCCCTAAAAAAGTCTGCCTTCAGTGGCCTGGCTTTTCATGGCTGGCTTTCAATTTTGTTTTGTGCTCCATGGTTCTGTCCTACAAGCTCTTACTGGCTCCTGGGCTTGCCTGTGTTCACACATTGAGACAGGGTGTTTTGATCTTGAGTGACAGTCAACTGCTCAGTTTCCAACATGCCCTGGACACAGGGAGCTCAAGGTTTCCTGAGTGTGAAGTGTCACCAGCTACGTTTTCCTGTTTTTTTGCTGCTGCTTCTGGCTGGTGCCTCCTTTGTACAGGGTGGGTATTTCTTCTYCCGTCTGGAGTTTGTCAGCCCCTCCACTCATGAACTGGTTCCTGCAGAACAAGAATTTAATTCTTTCTCACAGTGCAAGGATTTGAAATCACCCCATGAGCAGAGAGAAGCCTCCCTGTTGGCAGGGAAAGAGCCCTTAGATTTGCTGGAGTCAGTAAGATGAAATTAGGGAGCTGGCTTCCATTAACCTGGTTAATGGGTGCATTGACCTCAACTCCTTGGAGAGTAGKTTTAATACATCAGAGTGATGCTTTATTACAAGCATTTTATTAGCACTTTAAAACCACTTTTGAACTTGGCTAGTGAATCATGGGTGTATAACTGTTGACTGCTGCACCTACTGCTATGTGAGGTGCTAACCTGGGTTTCTGTTGGCTGGATGTTCTTCCAGAAGTGTTTTTTTTACACAAAAACAAAACCAAAGCACCCTCCCCTCCCAAACTTAAAGCCAAAGAAAACAAAAGCCAAAACAAAAAACCCAACAMATGTAAATGAAAAACAAAACCACAAAACCAGAGGGTGTTGGARGCAGGCTGTTAAAATTAAAAGAATGGGGTGTCATCTCCCCCTAGGTGTGCACCACCATCCCTAAACGAAGTGGTGCAATATTGCCTAAGAACTCTTAAATTTCATAGACTTAAAAGACTGAGAAAAATGTTGAATTRCTTTTGTCTGACCTTCCTTCAATGGAAGCTAGATGCTCCTGAGCAGTTCTCTGTGGGCAGAACAAAAATGAGACCTAAAAAATGAAAGCTGGGGTTCTTCTGTCTCATCTGACCTGGGAAAAAGAATTGGAAGGAAAATAGCAAAGAGCAGAAGTGAAAGTGGTGTGATTAAAAATTGTAAAAGTTATTACCACAACAAAACTCTGTAGTGTCAAGGTACTTGCCACAAAAGCCTGAGTGACTTGAACTGGTTCCTAAAAGCCGAATTCCGTGGAGGGATGTCATGCATGAAAATGTATTTTCCTGTTTAGTGAACTCCACTGGTGCAGGATGGAATTGAACACATGCRTGTCAAAGTTCAAACCTGCCCCTAAGTATCACTGCACTCATTTTTATCTGCTGAGGGTTAAGTTTTCTACTGTTACGCTGAATGAAGCCAAATAATGCTCAGGGCTGATCTGATAAACAGTTGAAATGCTCCTGTGGAGTGGCTCTGGGGTGTTTTTGCATGGCCCATAGACTCCTTTCTGAGGAAAAGCTGGAGAGTTACTGCCAGCTGTAGGATGGAGAGGAGGAGGATGGGGAATGACCTCTTGAGATAACCTCTTGAGAAATGGCAGAGCTGGCATTCCTCCAGGTTAAGGGAAGACCTTTGTGGGTGATCAGGGAGGCGGAGGTGGGAAAACTTTACTCTGTGGTTTCTGCAACCAAAAGGTRTGTGGATAACGAGCCAACCACCATCCATCTGCAGAACTGCCAGTTCTTACAGAGTGAATAACACAAATACCTTCATCATTAGGGATCACCTRGCGTCAACTCTGCCAAACTCAGCGTTTATGGGCTCGTCCTCTCCCTGGTCAGACTGATGTGCTGCCTGGCCTTAGAGAGGCAAACACCGTAGCCGTGTGCTCTCTTGAAATCTCTCCAAGGCATGCTAGGGCTTGTCTGGGGTAAGGGAAAAAAACAGATTCACCCTGGTCATCAGCCTGTACTTATTTGCTCAGTTGGAGTTATTCTTCCCTCGGTGGTTTGGGCATGGCTGGTTCTGTTTGCTGCCAATGGGCAATTTGTCTTTTCTGCCATGGTCTTGGAGTCTCCTCTACCCACGGAGGGCACCGTAGGGGCTGTTCTGACTGCACCCAGTAGAGAGCAGTGCTGGCCAGCCCTMCCTCACCAACGAGTTCAACAGGTTCCTTTGTTCTTTCTACACAAAGTCCTTGYGTTGGGTGCCTGGCTCCTTGACAAGAGGCACCTATGCACAGAGTGTCCACCTCATGAATCAGCCTCCAGCCAACCTGGCTGCTCCTTTCCCAGCAAGCTGAGTGCAGCTCTTGCTTTGTTAGCAATTCTCCAGTTGTCAAGGGAATTGGAAGGGATGAGTTACATGTGTTTTGGCTTTGCCCTTGATTTGGATTGTGTGTTGCTCAGTGGGAATGTCCAGTTTTGGCTGAAGAAGTGAAGACATCAAACCCTGCTACTTTGGTGCCCATTTGGTGGCTTATCCTGTAGGAGCAGATACCGCCTCTGTGGCAATTGAGTAATTCTGGGATGATGGAGTTCACGGAAGAAGAAAGTCTCTGTGGGGGTGTAGTTATGGGTATGTGGTCAGAAGAAAGAAGTCAAGCCCTGATCCTCAGATTTGAGCATCTCATGAGCAAGCTGTAATCACTGTCCTTGTTTAAGTATCCTCTCAGCGCCCGCTAATGTGGTAATTCCAAGTGATAATTCACCAAGGGTTAGTTCAGGTGGAGTCAGTGGGAGATACAAACATACAGGTGATCAGGTTTAGAGGACTTTAAATTGCATGATGGGTAGGGAAAGACTTGCCAAGATAGAAAGCCTGCAGCTGAGTGTTTGCTGAACTGAATTGCCCAGGGAAACTGGTTTGGGTTGTTAAGGGTCATCATAGGAATGGCAGCTTTTGGATGCAGTTGGGATGAGAAGGATTATCCAGTTAGAGCAAGCACCTTTAAGCAAGACTCCCCTTAGCTACTAGGAAACACTTTTTTCACCCCAAATAAACAGCTTTTGTCTGCTGAAATGCTTGGTTTGGTGCTCCCCTGATCTTGGACAGAAGGCCAAGACTCYGGCTGTGCTGATGGAATCTCTTGAATGTGAACTTGATGGAGCCTGAAAAGAGAACTCCATGAATATCAGGCTGAATGYGGCCTTCTTCAGTCATGGCTGTGTTTTCAGGCATTAACAAAATTGTTCCCTACCAATCTATGTGCTGCTGTGTTAATCAATTACTACCCTTTTTAACACAAAGGTACCCAGATCTCTCATCAGAATAGTTGTACTTTGAATACGTCAGATCAGGAGGCTATCTGGCTGATCCTTCTCACCTACCATCTTAAAATTAGATGTTTGGACAAGGAATTCCAGACTTCTATAGATCCATCATGCTTTTCATTTTGGCCCTGTTTTCAGTCCATCATACCAGGAGATGGATCTGTCTGTGCCCTTTCTTTTTCCCTCCCATCCTCAGAGATAAGGCCTAGATAGTTTGACCAAAGATTGAAGCTTTGAAAGTTTTGAGTCACGAGTGGACTGTGATGATGCACGAAGGTTTAAGTGGAGCAATTGCAGGCATTGATCAACAACTGGCCCTGATGCGAAACAGAGAGGGTAATTTCAATCTCTTTTTTTCCTCCCTAGCTCTTCGGCTGTGGCTCCGTTGCGCAGATCGTGCTCAGCAGAGGGACTCATGGAGGTTTCCTGACTGTCAACCTGGCCTTCGGCTTCGCTGTAATGCTTGGCATTTTGATTGCAGGACAGGTATCAGGTACGTGTGGCTCAGCGTAGGCTGGGTTTCACTTGTGTCAGCYTACATGGCTGTGCTTTTCCTGTGTGGCACTGGTATGGATGCCAGTGCCCCTTGGCAAAATGCCAGGACCCAAATTCTGCCTGTAAAAGTGCGCTGACCACCATTCTCTCTGCAGGTGGACACCTGAACCCYGCTGTCACTTTTGCCATGTGTTTCTTGGCTCGAGAGCCCTGGATCAAGCTACCGATTTATGCCCTTGCACAAACCCTGGGGGCTTTCCTTGGAGCTGGCATTGTCTTTGGGCTGTACTATGGTAAGTGTGGAAAACTTATGTGTTTTTTGGGGTGAGACTACTGCATTTRTAACTCACTGCAGGGAGGGAAGTTTCTAGATCAGAGAGGAGCACTTTCCTGCAGAGCAGAGATCCACGAAACCTCCTTATTGTGCTTCTGGGATGGCTTTCCCGTACTCAAGATGATGGGTTCAAGCCTCCTCATAGATATCTGAAGTCCAACCAGCACTGTCAAAGTGCAGATCTTTGCCTGTGAATAATAGACACTGGACCACTGGATGGTCGCTCTCCTGGTCTTCCAGGAAGTACCATGAAACACCACCAGTGATGGAGACTTTACATCTGTTCTAGAACCATTTTCTCATTCTTGGCTTTAAAAAAATGAATTCTTCACCAGGGATGCCTTATGCATTACCCAGATAATGTGACTTTTAGCAGATTTTCATGAGAGTGATTCCACACCTTGGAAAGACCCCTAGAAACACAGTTCCTCATTCCTCAATTCATCCTGTGTGCTGCTTGTCATCATAGGGAAGTGTTCAGGGGGCAAGAACTCAATCTTTGTGCTGGCTCTTGCCTTTTCTCTAATATCAGAAGTGACATTTGGACTCATACTTTGCCTCATAGTATCTAGTCCTGTCCCTGTAGCTCAGCGGGACATCTGAGTTGCTATTATTTCCAGCTGTAAGGAGGAACCTGCCACCCCAGCACTAGCAGGAACTGCTTCTCCCTTTCAGAAGAAGCACAGAGACACACCTTCCTCTCTGTAAACATCAGGGCTTCAGTTCAACACCAATTACCTTTCCACTTGATGGGCTGAAGCCTCATCTTCAGAACGGATTTAATCCTATTTTAGCTACCTAATCCATGTGAAAGCTACATTCAGAAGTGTCTGGTATTTTCTTCACTCGCATGAAGGGAATCTAGAGTGCCTRCCTAAATTAGTTATCCAGCTTCTGCACAGTGGTAGGCAGGGCACTGGCTGCTCTAAAGACAACCCTRGGAGTTGAAACTAGGAGAAGTGAAAGAACAGCCCAAATTCTGTTTGCTTAGGCATTTCACTATATCATGTCTTTACATCAAGACTGATACCACAGACATTTGGTTGTCTTTGGGAGAGAGTTGGACCCACCTTAGTGTTTACTTTTTAGCTCCAACTCTTTCTTGATGCCAGGCAAATAATAATTGTTAGGAACAGGCGCTAATGCCATCTGCTTCTGAGCCTGATCGGTAAAATGCTGAGGTGGATGATRCCCCAAGTTTTCCAAATTAGTATTTGCTCTATAGCAAATTATTATTTTTTTTTTCTCCTTCCCTATCTCTAGATGCAATCTGGGCTTTTGGCAGTAATCAGCTGTACGTGACAGGACAGAATGGCACTGCTGGTATCTTTGCCACCTACCCATCTCAGCATCTGAATGTTGTSAAYGGCTTCTTTGACCAGGTAAGAGGRTGAGGAWGAAAGTGCACTTGAAACAGAATCTTTTGGRTTCTGGGCCTYRCYTTTWGTCAGAAAATTWATTGCAATTTAAAGATAAGATATCCAGAAAGGTCTTTTGRAGTTGATGCAGGTATCTCACTAGCCCAAARGAAGWGCAGARMCAGAAACAACCTTACAGCAAGAAGGCTTGTGCTAAGGGGTTAACAAGTGGYACAATACTGTTCAGGACACCAGTGAGAAGAATTCCATTTGCTCTTAGTCCCTGAAGAGTCATAGTATAAGGAATGCTGGTCCTTCCTCACTCACTCCACTCCTATGACACAGAAGTCAGCTGGCTGTGGGGTGTTGATTGCTGTTGAATGTGACTCTCTCCTAAAGTTGCCATTAACCACAAAAGGGACAGCTTCTACCCAGCCATGGCAAGTGGGAAGGAGGTTCAGGAAGAWGTTTCCAGCTTTTCTGGCTATCTGAACAGCTATTTGTAGCTGTTCTGGGGGTATGGAAAAAGGTGGAAACGTGGCTGAGATTATGGGCTGCTGTAACCTCAAGAGAGGAGCACGCCCCATGCTCTTATTCCCATGGTGGAATGATAATATCAAGGGACGACTTGGTGCAGCTCTTCCTGTTAAGAGAATTACATCCCAGAGGAATTAAACTACTTGATTAGAAGACTAATCTAGATCAAATTTTTGTTTTCCTTCTCCATCCCTCTCCAGTTCATTGGCACTGCCTCTCTGATCGTCTGTGTCTTGGCTATTGTTGATCCGTACAACAACCCTGTCCCCACCGGGCTGGAGGCTTTCACAGTYGGCTTTGTTGTCCTCGTTATTGGAACCTCCATGGGTTTCAACTCTGGCTATGCTGTCAACCCTGCCAGGGACTTTGGGCCTCGTCTCTTCACAGCCATTGCTGGCTGGGGCACTGAAGTGTTCTGGTAAGTGCTTGWTGATGAAAACCTTGTGCATCAAGGGAAATAAATTGAATCCAAACAGATGGTAGCTCTGGCACTATAAAGAGTCTTGGCAGCCATGAGGTATCTTTGGATTGTCTAAATGTTGCTAAAAGGCACTGTCTGCTCTTCTTTGACTTCTTAAGAAATTGTAGAAGCTGGGCAGCTTCCAGTGGTGAGAGCAAATGGCATAACTTTGCTATCAAAGAGGAAACCTAGGAGCATTCCATGAGAATTTCAGTTGTGCCTTAAACATGAGCATATCATGCCTTTTTAATGTCAGAAAATTGAAAGTGTTTGCTATTTTTAAATTAAGAGAGCCATATTATGAGGGGCTGCTTTCCTGAAAGTGGTGGGAGGGAACTGAAGGTGCCTAGTGCAAAGGTGCAAATGCTTCTCTCTTTTTTTGGGTGGAGAGACAGTCACAGAACTCCTGAAGTTAACTGTTATGAATTGCTTGTCACTGGAACTTCCAGTTTGTGTGTGYGTGTGGCAATGTCTGCCTTGGAAACTCTGCAGACGTGCAGGTGCTATTGTCTTGTGCAAGCGAGTGGTGAGGCTGGAGAGGACCAGATCTTGCATTGCTCCAGACCCAAATGCAAATATCCTAATGCTGAGGCTGCAGTTCTTACCTTGTGCACTTTCTYCTCATTTTCCAGGACTGGGAAGCAGTGGTGGTGGGTTCCAGTTGTTGCTCCTTTCCTCGGGGCAATTGCGGGAGTGATTGTCTATCAGCTGATGATTGGATGYCACGATGAGCCTTCTCCACCTGCCTCTGAGCAAGAAACAGTCAAGCTGGCTAATGTGAAGCACAAGGAGAGGGTCTGAGRAAGCTGCCACCCAGATCTGGCAGGTATTCATTACTCAGGACTGTAGCTGGCAAAAAGGAGAAGATAAGAAGAGCTTCAAGAACAACAGGAAGAGTTTTTTTACCTGTCTTGAGATATTCTAGTAATTTTTTTYYTTTTTTTGTATATCCCTGACACRTTTGCTTTTGACATTTCCCTGTGAGCCTTTCTCCAAATGCAGTATCATGTAATCTTTTCCTAATAGAAGGGGATTCAGGACTGTGGGAGTCAGGAGAGAGGTGGGCATTCCTGTCCAACACGATCCAGGTGTTCAGGAATCTGAAGYTCTTTTGAGCTATGTTGCTGACAATACCTGTGACCTTTGCAAACTGCTTCCCTTCAAACCTGTGTTCCAATCTGTAGAATGGGGATCATGCAAAACTTAAATTGTTTTGCTGGCATGGATTGGAAACTCCTGCATCCTGGAGAAAATTTGCCTGTGATTCTACTGTGGATCAAATTCTGCTTGATGTTGCTCTAAAGTCAGTAACTTGACACCAGGGGTTAATTTGTCTAAAGGATTTTTATYGGCCAAACTTGTATATCTCCTATGAATTCATAGATTATTGTATCAGTCAGCTGATCCATAATGCTAGTGCTGACAGTAAGAATGCATTGGATTTTCATTCAATATTAAGACAAAATGTTTACAAAAAAGTGCACCCTGGTGTTATAATCAAAAATTTTACAATTGCTAGGTCCTAGAWGATCACATGTTGGAAAGCCTTATTCTAGCCAGGGGCTAACCAGGGGCTAACAGAAAGCTTGGCTCCTGAAGCAGCCTTTCTAATTAATCAGCTTTGTATATAAACTGCAAGCAGCTAATAGACAAGATCCACTGGAAACACAGTGTTGCTAAAATTGCGTGTKTTCATGTAAATTTTGCAATAGTGTTGTTGGGTTTTTTTTTTCTTTTTTTTAGTAGATTTATATATAAATATACTCATTGAAGCTGTTACTAAATACCAAAGTTGGGATGAGTTAATTTAGAGATGTGTGGGAACTGCTGATTCTCTGTCAGCTTTGAGATWTTGTTGGATTTTCCTGGGGTGGTCTTGGATTATAGCATTGTGTTTTTTGAAGCACTTCCTTTTCTACCTTGTAGAATTACTGGGATATTCCTGGTACTCATGGCTGAGGGACTGAGGTCAGGCACCTCCTCAACTAGCAGTACTGGCATCTCAGGGGATCTCTGGCTCTCCCAATGCCATATTAATACAGAGTATTTAAAAAAAAAAGCTTTATTGGTTATGAAAAAATTTGTAAGTCCCACACACTAGAGAAACTCGTTCAAAGCTTGTTTCTTTAATTCATKGAAATGCATAACTTTGTACACATTTCCAGTCACTAAAAAGGATGTATTCTTTTTTTTCTTTTTAAAAAAAATAAAATGTCAATACCCACACTGTAAAATGCTAGTGTTTGTTGTATTTTTAAGCAGCTGTCAGCAAACTTGACCATGAAAAGGAAGTCATCTGTAGCAATAGCTTCCTCAAGCCCTTTTCCTCTTCAGCCTGAGCRAAGGGGAAATAACCCTTTCAGGCAGTACATCTGCATGCTCCATTTRTGCTTTATTCCTTTCCCTTTTTGGGGGRGATTTYRGKGCAGGTGGRAGGAGATGGAGTARCTGCTCTCAGTAYAATGACCAAARTATCAAGGTATGGGCTGGGGGTGAAAGTGGCCTGCTGTCAGGTGTCTTAAGGCAAAAGAACCACTGGATAAGTATTTGTCCTTCACCCTCTGTACGATTTAAACTCCCTTACTATTCTTTCACTTWACATAATTCTGAATGTGCAGTCCTACTCTGCCCTTGTGTACTGTCCAGCCCCATCCAGCATATTACACAAGTCACCTTTTTTAAATTAGCTGCACCAGGCAAGGAAAAGTACTACAGACCTGAACACAGTGCTCACATGATTAGACAAGCAGCTTCCTTGCAAATAAAATTCTTGTTGCTCTTTGGCTGGTGTGTGTACTGCTGTATTTTTCCTGTMTTAATTGTGCTGCCTTAAAATAACTCCTCACTTCCCGCATGGTACCATACTGAACAATTCAGCAAGATCTGGATGAATGTGGTTTCCTGCAATTCACCAGCTGGAAATCAAATGGCTTTTGGGAAGAAATTTCCCAGGTTTGTTTGATTTGCTCTATGTGCAGAGAGTACATTTTTTTTCCATTTCTAACATAAAAGTTTATCCCTCAAACTCTATGTAGCAGTCTTGTATACCACAAGATCAAGTAACATAGCTGCAGAGGTCAATTCTCCTTTACCTTCAGGACTGCTGGTCTTTCATCTATTTTTCCACCACTTTGTATCTTCAACTGGCTTGATCAATGCATGAATATTCTCCCTGCAGATCTTAAGACTTACACTCTCAAAGTGTAGAGTGGGTTCTGGGTAGTTAGGGGTTTTTTCCCTTTTTTTT